TACTATAATGGCACTTGGTACAAGCCCAGACAGCAAGAATCCCTCTGGCAATGGATGTCCTGGTTTAGTTCTGTCCACGTACAAGTGTAATGAATTTTACTCTGTATCTCTGTGAATGTTTGGGGAATTTGCTTTAATGGCGAACGTCTGATGAACTAACGTTTATCAATAAATCGCTCAATATTAGAGTGAAAAAGACCTGAAAATTGATGGAAATGCAAAGCAAAATACATTGCACAAGTACAGGATGACCACCTCTGGCATGGTTTGGTACAGTGCAAGAACTTATGGCAATGGACGATATGGTAGTACTCCTGGCTTCTGATTTTTCATTTATTCTTATCTCAAGACAGCATCTGGCTGCTTCTCACTAGAGGGGGGTATGGGATGGCTAGAAGGGGAGTTGGGAGGCCATCTTCTTTCGCCTACAAACTACTGGAACTGGAGTTTTACTTCTGGCAATACAAGAACACCAAATTATTGCAATGTTGACATGACTCAGGAAGACACTCTGCAATAAAATGTCATGGATGGCATGTTGGAGCAATGTTGACATGGCAAGACATCTTGTAGAGGACAGATGATGTACTATAATGGCAAGCCCAGACAGCAAGAATCCCTCTGGCAATGGACGTCCTGGTTTAATACTGTCCACGTACATGTGTAATGAATTTTACTTTGTATTTCTGTGAAGCTTTGGGGTATTTATTTTACAATTGATCGTCTGAGAAACAATTGTTCATCAATAAATCGATCTATATTGGAGTAAATGACCTAAAGCTCTATAGAAATGCAAAGTACAATACAACACACAGGTATAGGACGACCATCTCTGGCATCGTGCATGGTACAGTACAAGAACCCTGGCAGTGGATGACATGGTTGTAGTATGGTAGATAATAAAACCAAGGCAGACAATTCAGGTATATATGCACACTGTCTGGCAATGCATGGGATTGAAGGACACTATAATGGCAATATGATGATGGCAGCTAATTGCAATGCTGACATGGAACAGAACACTCTGCAATAGCATGATGTGGAAGACAGCTTTGAAGCAGTCATGGTATGCTTGGATATTGTAATGGTTGGCATTGGTTGTGACATACAAGAATTATAATATTGTAATATGGAATATAGAGCGAGTTTGAAAGAGGACCTTGGGTTGAACAGTACCATGGCAACAGAGATGATACTCTACCATGGCATCATGGCAACAGGGATGTATACTCTAAAAGATCTATGAAACTGGATTTGATTGATTGGATCTGGCACCTTGAATCAATGGAGTACATTTCACAGTATGGTCACATGGTGGATGGTATAGTTGAAATGTCTGTTTTTAAACCATAGTGGCAATGGATACTTTTAACAACCTTTGCATGGTAATGGTACAGTTGGTGGTATGGTATACATGTACAATACAGGAAGAAATATTGGTGATTGCAATATCTCCATGTTTACACAACCTCTTCTTTTAAAGCAGGCAATTTTCCCCTTTTTTCCCACTCTTGAGTGGTTTTTTGGGGTTTTTATAAGCTGCTGATTCCATGTTTTAAGAAAACACTTCTTTTCTTTTCTTTCTATCTTCAGATAGCATATTTAGCTATTCTTCTCACTAGAGTGTGGTATGGGATGGCTATAAGGGGAGTTGGGAGGCCATCGTCTTTCAAACACAATGAGGTGGAACATTTTTCTTAATGTTCAACATTCAAATACATCAATCATTTATAATTATCAGGTGATTTGCACCCAAAACCTTTTATGGATAATTTGGCTATTTGAAAATCTTCTTGTGGAAATAACACTTTYCTGGTGGTAGAAACTTGGACATGGTACATCATTGCTGATAATACTACAACAACAACAACCCACCACAGATCTAATGTAGTGTAAGAGAGCACGCTTGACATCTTATTAAGTTGTCTTGAGGACTGGGTGCAATTCCCAGATTAGATTATAAACGGGTTGATTGTTAAWGATATCAAATGGTGTCTGATGTCCAAATCTTCTGCCACAATGTTAGAGTGCAAACAATARAATACTCTTTGTCAGTCATTGTTTGCACTCATATTTCCATTCTTGGGTGAATTAGATATAATATAATTCCCAGTTGTATTCTCCAGTAGTTGCAAACAATTAGGCAGTTGTCCTGTATTGCAGTGATCTCAAGTTTAAACATACCCATCTGTTGTTTCATTTATAGAAATTGTTGCTTTTAAAATGACAATAATTTATTCACAAWTACATACCACACACAATAGGCATGCTTTCTATAAATATTTTTCACAAAACGTTTACGCCTTAAAATTTATCTAAAATATAGAAACCAGGCAAATATATTATTTTACACATGAAATACATGTAAATAGTAATTACAATCGTGTTTAGTAAACTGCATTCATTTTGATATTCTGAAAAGATCAACTTTGCTTTCAAAATTGTGAAAAATTCCTTTACAGTAGATCAGTCTGTAGCTTTGTGCATTTTTTTGTTGTATAAATAATCTTCAATGAATACACTTTACCGACAGTGAGTAAAAGTCAARATTGATTCTCTAATAAATAGTCCAAGTTACTTGTTTTAGTTTGCCTCCTCTCTCTGCAACCTCCTCCATTGCATAACGTATTCTCTCAGTTACAAGAGGGCATCCATGAAAGATAAGTATAGCTATTTGTGGACAAAGCATAAGTATGGCTTCTAGGGAGTCGTCTGACACTTCTATACAATGYGCAACATGGAGTTCCTGTGGAATTATTCATTTAATATGTAATTAGTTTGAGACAATAAATTATTGTAGTCAAATTGGCCAATTTGTTATACCTTAAGTGATCTTRCACAGGATCCATTTGCTAAGCTGATTACACCATCATCTGTCACCTATATATTAAACAATAAAAACATATAATTTAACATTATAATTCCTAGTGTCAACCTTTGATAGAAAAAGTGTATACTAAAAGATACAGTGACATAATTATTATATCAAATGAACCGAGTATTACCATGGTTTTTGACACATTCAAACTTTGAAGGAACTTGGAGTTTGTTGCTAAGAGTTTCAGAGATTCATCTGTGATATTGCAACTTGCAATGTTGAGGTACTGCAAATATGGACAGTTTTGTGCAAGAGCAATTACAGCCTCATCAGAAATGTTAATACAGCGCCGTAGATAAACTGTCTGCARTTTGGTACAAGAGTTTGCAATTGCAATAATCCCTGTAAAGCATGAAATGGAAGTAAACTTTCTTGGTGTGTTAATTAGATTGATTTGGGAGTTTTTAGCAATCACAAATGCTATCCGTTATAAATTATCTTATGGGGGTGTCGTTATTAGTAGTAATATATAGTAATATTGCACTTTATTTATAAGAAAATAATATATAAAACATTGCAACATGTCTTCATCCTCTGAATATATAAACACGGTGGGAGTTGAAAAACCAAGCTTAGAAAGACAAGCATAGCGGCAATATTCATTCAACATACATGTGAAGCTCCATAACTTCTTTACAATGTAAATAACATTTAATTCACYATCTATCTAAGGTTTATAATAACAATTTTTCCTGGAAACTGAATTTCTAAAGGGTACCAGAAAGAAGWTTTTATTTTCTGAAGTTCATAATATCCATGCACAGCTACTTGTCTAGTAAAAAGATGCCGAACTGTAAGCTTATTTTAATCAGAAAATCTCAATAGCCACTTATCTGTAAAAACACTAAAGTACATATTAAAATATCTAATTACATTACTGATTTAATTAATTTGATTAATTAATTAAAAATGCCGCTGAGACATTGCTTTGATCCCAGTTAAATTGCTGGTCTGGGTAACACATGGTATTTGACATGTACTCTGCTTATCTTSCTTAACCATAAATGTTACCCCAGGCTTGTATGACTGTCTGGTCTTTCTCTAGTACTTATATTATAAAGGTGCATTTAATTAATCATGTATGTAAAATTGGATTTATCAAATGCTAAAATTTAATAATCTTTTCTATATCCTGTGGTAGTTGATATAAAAGTTCTTGTAACCATATTCATTTACAGTCAAGTTAATTTACCTTCAGTTGAAATATTTTCTCTATGTTCCTTGACAGCATTCAGGTCGAGTTTCTTTAGCCCTTTGCAACATGTTATGCAACGTAATCCCTCGTCYGTAGGGTCTGACTCACTTAGGTCAAGCTCTCTTATAGATGGTACAATAATCTGACATAACCAATATTAATGATTTATAAACAGTCAATTAATTTTTTTTATTCCAAATCACTTTCAACACAGCTTCGGCACTATCACAGGGGCCATGGAGCAGGGAGGCTGTAACACCAACCCCCCCCCCCCCCTCTTTGGATACAAAATAAAATGTTATTTTGAACACCATGCAGTGTCAAGCAATATTTTCATAGATTCACTGCATAAAATATTTTAATTCCTAATGCCTCCTCTCAGGATAGTTGACTGCTCTGCAATCCTATCAATCAAGATTTKATCAATCCACGATTTGATCAATCAATGATTAACCTAACTATTGTACTTATAAATCGATGTAAGTATAATCACTTTAGCTAATTACTCCCTTCTTCATACTCAAATCATTCATTCGTAAAATTATCCAACCCATTAACGTGATCTGCGACTGATACTAAAATAGGATACTTTCAAAAACAATCGTTTGTTTTGCAAGTGAAATGAACCTCCTACTTTTAGCTCACCTTTGGAAGAATTTCGTCACTCAAAAGACCTCTAAATGCAAACAGCTTTACCAACTTTTCCTTTATCTCAATAGGCAAGGAATTCAACGAATTCTGATGCTCTCTGACATGCTTAGCAACCTCGTGAAGGCAAGTTTTTTTAAGACTTTGCACAACTGCATACGAGTACGCCGCCATTTTGTTTACGTACGCAACGCGCATGTCAACCAAATTATTTAGAGGGGAGGGGCTAGAAGACTCTTAAAGAAAACAATTTAGAAAACAGGTTATAGATAAAAATTACTAAAACAGATTACAGATTTGCTAAAAACGATATATTTTACTACATTTTAACAAATAGCAGTGAATTTGGTTATCATAAAATTTGTTTTTTATGATGTTCTCTTTCACTTCTTCACCCCTCCCTACAGGGTCTAGGAAACGTCCAAGAGCGCGGATTTTGAAAGGGACATCACACCATTGACTGTCATGGCGGCTGCTTTGCGTCAATAAGCTGGGTTTTTTGCCCTCTTATCCAAGTGAAATGCCCATGTAGTTCAAAACAAAATAAATTTGAATTGAATAGCTGCAATATGGACAAATATTCGTTTTCTGTGGCGAAAGTTTATCAAGGACATCAAATACTATAAAAAGCTAGATCATGCAGTAAGCTTACTGAATCGAAACTGAAGCATGAGGCGGTTCAGACGTCGATATTTGGTAAGCTTTATCAAAATTCTCTGTTTTAAATCATTTTCTAGAGAAAAGAAAGGGTAAATTAATCACTTCAAAGCAAAAATTACTGTACTACTTTAGAATGTGGTTACGATCGAGTCAAAATATTAAAACATTAAGCTGACATCAGAAGAAATGACAGGATAAAACTTTAACTGGCTTAAATTGTAAGAAATTTAGCTAATGATACATTCTTAAAGAAATACATATAGCACAGTATTACTTATCTTTATTATTGCTAAATTATTTAATATTTGTGGCGTAAGGGGGCTGACAGGCACCACCTGGATCCGCACTAGGGAGGGGGATGGTGTCCATGGTGAGAGGCCTATGCAGAGTGTTTCGAAAATGAACCTTAAACGTATTATATAATAACGATTTTTTTGAATCCTCTTGTTCTTTGTGCCCTATTTTGTCTTTAATTTTTTATGAGCTATAAAATAGTCTTTTTCCCATTCTTTGCCTCCTTTTCTTTGCAGTTTCTCTTCTTACTCCGCTGTTTCTACAGCTGTTATCGTTTTGATTAAAATGTACCATATGATCTCGAAGATAAATGCATTTTAAGATGGTAACATGTAATATATAGTTGCACAATTGTTTTTGCTATTGTTATCATTCTTATAACATCTGTTATATTCCTACCATTTTTACTGTAATCATTGTTATGATTATCATCATCATCGTCATCATCATGATTATGTCAATCTCTTTTTGCTTTTTTGAAATCTAGACACTTTTGTGTTGTTTTGAGTTCTGTGCGTCTTTTTCAACCACATTTTTGGTTCAAGGCTATAATTATTGTCATCTTCAAAGAAATGATGATATGTCTGACCCACTAAACACGGATCAATCAATCTTTTATCCAATTAAACTGAGAGGAATAGTGATCCATCTTCAAGATCAATTTAAAACTCATTTACCTGCTGTGATAGGTATCTACACACAACATTATGTCTCAACCATGTCCCAAAACTAATCCAGTTCATATGTTTAAATGCCCGAGGGGAACGATCCTTTTGACCCTGTAGTTAATCACCTTACCAACGCTAACATAAGTTTTGCCTGTGTTCTTTGATAATCGAGTATTTTGTTGTGGTCCGTTTGTCTCACCACTCTTGGCTGTTCGGTGGATTATCACACCAAGATACCGTGGTCTAATGGCCCATCGTGCCTGGAGTCCCAGCGTGTCTGGAGACTTCTGACGGAGCTTTGAGTAAATGGCAGTCTTMATTGAATTTGATGCATTCGAGTTATTTTGGGACATCAACACCTTGTAACTCTTACTCGAACTTGTTTTCGTACTCGATGCCAACTGTTCCAATCATACGTTGACTCGGACTCAAACTCGGTTACTCTAAATTGTTTTATACAAGCAGTCAGGCTAACTCGTTTTGCTTTTAGCGCTACATATGTAGCTATCAAATACACGGTTCGACTTGGTTGAACTTTTATTTGCGCACGTTGTACGTACAGTSAGATCAACAGTTAGATGAACTCCTACTCGCATCCCTCAGTGATGTTACAAAGTTCTTTACGAGGTTGATTGGAAAGACCTTCAACGCCCATTCAGTAATTAAAGGCGCTAAGCGTCCATTTCCCTTACAATGGGTTTTATTAACAAATCAGTTATTCATCTGCCTTGACTGGCCTGGCCACACCGATGCAAGAGCCTAAGTTTTTGTGTTTTTGTTAATGGAAATAACAAAGGCAAAACAACAAAGACAACAACAGCAACAGTGGCAGTTTACAGCATCAGCACAATAAAGAAAACAACACGAATGTATTCTTAACTTCAAGAATCTCGCCATTTTTAAAGTCGAAAACTTAGCTGAGTCAATGCATAACAAACTCTTGTTTAGTAATAAAACATTTTTATAGTGAAAAATTGATTGTAGTTTTTAAATATCCCTCCCTTTTTCGTGGTAGTTATTTTGTCCTTCCTCTATTTTTATTTAGGTAATTGTTGAAATATCGACCTCTTTAGGTCTGTGGCTGAAAAAATGTTATTTTTGAACTTCCGTTCGTCTTTCTGGTCGCCTTTTCTTCTAAATGTTTTTCCTGCCACCTCTTTTGGCTACCTTTTGCAGCAAAATTTCCTTCCTTCCTTCCTTGCTGCACCCTCTCTAAGCTCTGTTTTCATTGAACTTTTATTGAAATCTCAGTTAGACGTATTAAGTCTCACTAAGGCTTACTTTGTTTATCAGCAAGATGGTTTCCGTGTTTACCCTTTCTGAGCTTTTCTAAATTAATTGTTTTTTAAAGGATTCCTCACTCTATGACTTCCTTCCTCCTGGCTGCTTCTGTTTATAGAGACAAACCTTCGAGGGTTAGAAATTGTATCTTCCTTTCTAGTCCACTATTAGTTTTCATGTCGCTATCTATAATGTATTGTAAATTGCATGTTTCGCAGGTATGTACACAAACGCTCCATTTTGCACTAAAGCGCCGTTGAAATGGTGTGCGGTCTTAAAATAAAGTTGTTGTTGTTTCTCTGTATTTTGCCCTTCTTTAAAGACATTCATGTTTCATTCATTCCTCCATTGTTTTTTCGAGGTATGTTTGTAGATTGTTCTTTATTGTTTCTTCTGTCTAACTTTTCTTGAAAGACAGATATGAAATTTGTGATTTGAACTCCCTCGCTTCCTTTTTCTCAACCTCAGACCTGGTCTTGATTCCGTTCTTTAATCCTTTGCCCTTATTTAAAGTCTTATTTCAATTTCGTTCTTTCCTATTATCTGTCACTCACCACAAACGCAGTGAACATTTGTTGTAGAATTTCAATTTTATTAATATTTCAATTTTGTTCTTTCCTATTATCTGTTACTCACCACAAACGCAGTGAACATTTGTTGTTTGAATGTCTTCTCGGCTCCCAAGGGAGTTGCACGAGGGAGTTGCAATTGGGAGTTTAAATTGCACGAGTCCTGTTTTCTTGCCAGGCTTTGGTAAAATTACCAACATTTTTCTGCTTCGTGTTCGCAGTTGGCACATCTTCCGGTGGTAATTGATTTGAGAGTAAAGAAATTATTGTCTACTTTCCTTGCTTAAGTGGGCCACCATCGACGATGATAAATTTGCRTGACATGAACATACAATACCCTGCTGAAAAAAGAAAAACGCATGAAAACGTTATCACTTATGGAAGGGGTACCCTCTTGTTAGTCTCACCCTCGACGATATTGCTATTGTAGATCATATCTTGCTGTTAATGACAGGGGAAACTCTAACCTGCCTCGGTTAGAAGGATCACCCCTTTGTGGCCAAGTGACCCTTATATAGCGATCATGCTTTTGCTCAAGTAAACAAACTCCCCTTTACTTTTCAAAACACTATCTTAAAAAGCATTTGTGCTTTTCATAAGTGCGCAATAAGTACTTGTAACTTGAGGTAATAGTTACATTTTTCGATGGTAAAAGACACTTGCGCTGGGAACTCTAAAAAATGGTTCCCAGTATGTGCGTGTTATACTTTAATAAAAGATATAGAGTTTCTTACTCTGCAGAGGCACCATTCTTCTTATATTCCTGGACGACCAACAGCTCAATAAATGTTAACAATAGTATCGTTCCGCCCTTCTAACTACCATGCATGAAAGGATTAAGCTGAGCTAGGAAACTCGAACCCGTACAAACCGCGATGTGTTCACGGAATGAGCGCTTCATCACGAAACGACGCGGATATCAGTTTCCAATTTGAAAATACGTTAGAATTTTGCAAAATGATTTTGCTTGTAAAGAGTCAGCATTCCCAACATTGATAATAAAATTATTTTCGTCCAGGATTAAAACCTGTTGCATGTCCAACTYCACTGTAAAAATGTCGTAACAACAATGACAACTTGCTATTTTTAACTAAGTCCTCCCTGAGGCTGMTCTTTTCCGCTTGGCATGACGTCAAATCCCGTTGTTTTTTATGTCAAGTGTACGGTATCTTGGATTTGTGTCAAACTTTACAAGCACAACGAACATCATGCTAGATTTGAAAGAAGAGGTGATGAAAATATAGAGAAATGTCCTTGAGCGCGCGAAGATACGAACTTCAGCACATAGTTTATATATCTATRAATACATCCACCATTGTAACGAGCTACTTTCACGTGTAACTTTTTTGCTGTCGAGTCAACAGGAAAAGGAAACTCAAAAAGTCATGTAAATAAACGTCATAAAAGCTCATTGACGTTTTGAGAACTTTTGTTTACTCCTAAATATATCACATAGCGAAGACGACAACAAAGCCATTATAAATCAATTATAGCATTCCATCCCAATGACAACTCAAATCTGTTCGTGTTATCATTAATAAACCCACATTAAACACGATTTCCTCTTGGTTTTTTCCGTAAAGTTTTATGGTTTGGGTTAATGTTTGACGATGTGGTTGATATAATAATGCTGTTAAGAATTATAAGTCATTACGATGCCATTAAACCCGTGAAACAAAAGTTGACTGTAAAAAACCGTGAAACAAAAGTTGACTGTAAAAACCCGTGAAACAAAACTTGACTGTAAAAACCCGTGAAACAAAACTTGACTGTAAAAAGTGTACACAAAAGAGAAAGTAATGCAATTAGAGCGTATACTAAAGTGTACTAGTGTAATATCTTTTTAGAATGGTGGAACTAGCGGTAAACTAGTGTGAGCTGCGTCGGTGTTCCTAAAGAAACAGTTGTGTAAAAAAGATAAATTAAACACCGTAAAAAGTAAGTAGTTGTAAAGTTACTTCTACTTTTTTACTTGTTAAACTTGAGCCCCTTTTAGTGTCTGGAATCAATACCTGWRTTTATTTATGCGTACCTTTTAGGGTCATTTTTCAATCCGTCCGTCGAGTATACCTACCAACTTTTATAAGGGAGYCCCCCTCGGGATTTTCACAAAAATACATATGACACATTCTTAATATCAATTTAAAACAGTTTATATGTTCATTACAAAAAATCATGTTATAGTTTAACAAAGAATATGGCTTCTCAATATCAAATTGTCTTTACTGAACTGTCACAGTGAGAKWGAAGATGTTCTAGTCGTGGTTTTTGACAACRTGAACAGCGATTCATTYCAAACACGGRCTCTGTCTTGATAAATACACTGTTTTTCACATGGACTTTCTCAGCGTCGCYGTGGSCCCGGAACGCCCTGCGGTGCWCATGGACAGGTCTGCTTATRGCATCCATRAACAAATCACCGTGTAGCAGGACTGGCACTTAAAACTTACAGTTTCCCACTACACGATTCGATATGCTTTACAGCATACTCAAAAACTACAAAGACTTGACCAGAATTTAGAAAGCCCCCGTGGGCAGCTGGGATTTCCCCTTTTTGCCCRAATTCCCAGAATTCTATTAGGATATTATAAGGTAATGTCCCTAGGGCAATTTATTGTAGGGTCACGATCATGAGTATGTAATTGCGTAATATTTTTCCTTGATAATCAATTATTGCATTCGTATATTTTTTTTAATTTAAGGGTGATAAAGTGTAGTGTTTCTTAGACTAAACTTTACTTCGAGTTGAAGAGGTGTCACGTGATCTGTCACTTTGCTGAAAGCTCGGAAGAGCGTTCGAAAAATGGCTCTATTCAAATGATAAAAGAAAAAGAATGTCTTCAATTTTGATACATGTTATTAGGACAATATCGTTTTTTATGATTTGATTTTATGATTATGATTTGATAATTGAACTCCAAGTTTTCTTAGGGATTTAGTTGTTATTGTTTTTTGACACTTGCGGTGATTTTATTTGTTTTTCGGATCCAGATGTAGCGCTTCTGGTCGTGGCAGCATTTACTCATAGTTGTAGCTCGAGTGATATTCATTTCACCGGCGCTCCCGTCAATAAAAATACATATATATCTATAGTACATATATATCTATAGACAACCTTTTTTGCGTTTTTTTGCAGAGGGAACACTCTGTAAGACTCACTCGGTAGRACTTCACTGTTCAGTAAAAAAAGAAGGAAAAAAAACAGCAAAGAAAAACAACACACGAAAGAAAGCTAACAAGCAAATCTAATCTAGTGTTTTTTAATCGCACCTTACTAAACCTTGACTATTATATTGTGTTTATGAAGAAAAACTCATAAAATTTTAAATGCTTTTTCAATATCCAGTTCTTTGTTCTTTGATACTTAGTTCCAAAAAAAACCCTTTCAGTAGTAGGCTAAATTCACTGTTCAGTTGTGTGTGTGCGCTTTATTTGGAGGTAGGAAAAAGTTTAGATTGTGACTAGTTTTGCATAGTTTTACCTCTCAGACTGAAGCATTAGTTATAAATAGACACATGTCTATTTATAACTATTTTTATAAATAGACACATGTCTATTTATAGATATTTACTTAGGACAATATCGTTTATGCGATTTGTTCTTTAAGATCCCCGTCAAGAAAAATATGATATACGTCTACACTGTCCCCTTGCTCCATAAATACGCACCGCAGACACAACCAACACTGAATTCAGACTAAGGCTACTGGAATTGATTTCCTTTTTCCTTTTTTTGAATAAAGTATTAGTCTATCTTACTGTTAAAATGGTGGGAACTAGCGGTAAACTAGTGTGAGATGCGTCGGTGTTTCTAAAGAAACAGTTGTGTAAAAAGATAAATTAAACACCGTAAAAAAGTAGGAGAAGTAACTTACTGACGTTTCGGACGTTAATCCTTCGTCGRAGTAAAAGTGATATATATTCATGGTTTGTTATCCCGTAAGAGGAAACATTAGCAATTAGGAATTAGGAAAATACGCCCTGTACGAAACTATTGCGGATATGAATTCGTGAGCGACAATTCCAATCGTAACTCTAAGTACGCTTCCTGGCCAAGGGGAAGGAACCATTTATAACAGGACACGAATATAGAAAGATTCACGATAGATTCAGTACACGTTGAATATTGGTGTGTGTGTTCAAAGCCTACTTATGTATTACTCTTCTTTCGCCCTTGAGGATAAAGGATTACAATGCCAAAACGTCACGAGAACGCATTAGTGCAGGCGAGACTTCATATATACTATTCGCTATGACGAGAAAGTATCATGTGGACATAATTAAAGACAGAATACGATGAGAAAGAATTTTTTTTTATTTTTATACAGTTTCATCTTTTGATAACTCTTACTTTTAGCTTTAAGAAATTTCCTTAGTGGTAGGTCAATATTCAAGGAAACAGCCTACAACATTTCTAGTGTTATATCWGTATACGACATGCTTTTGCCTAATTTTATCCAATCCTCGATGAAAACAAACACTTTAATTTGATTGACTGCAGTGGTTTCCTCATACGGTGCGCGTGCCCTGACCACASTGGGTCGCTTTCTCAGGGGACATTAACACACTAAACCTGTTAGCGSACTCGTCCATATGCCAGCCAAGTGGYACAGAAAGAAGTCAACTTATCTCGAAAGCAAGAATCTGATGTACCTTATCAAGCACGCCTTTATTWAWAGTTTTASTGACTTTGCATGTTCAAGGCTATCTTATGATTGGTTATAAGAAGTTATTCACAGCTTGTGATTGGCTTAGGAAGGAAGCCATTAAGTGTTTGTTTTTAGTTTGTATTCACGCATCTCTCTGTCGGTTTAGATATCTACAAATAATAGTAGTTTGATAATTACACTATTTTTATTTTCATTACTTCCATATTTATTTATTACATACTAAAACAACAAASTAATACACAGATGTACGACCCAGATTCCCGCCTTTTTCACWAGCATCACATTACATACAGGCAATATTGATATGTAGCGTGGGTCAATTTTGTAACGGATCACTTTCCCCCTTCTCTTGGTCACCCGCGCGGCGCTGAAAAGCAAACCTTTTGACACCAGACTATTAGTATTATCGCGGTACTTCAAATATTTCCTGTTCGAGAGGTATGGATATCCAACCTCTTATTGCTTCGGGCCTACAACGAATGCAAGGCTAAAAAAACTACACAAAGGATCGGTATAACCCTGTTCTTTCCSTAGCATGTTTCAACCAAATGATTTCAGTCACTGCTGYGTWTGGTTTAGCGTCGTTTGGACTCSTTATTTTGCTGCAATAGCAAAACACTTATKACAAATGGCTCGCTAATATCTGAATAAGCCCTCCCCTGTGTGATTTAAGAATTGACTTAGATTCAGCCATCGCTTCTTTAATGGCTCACGGTTTATAGTCGATGCTTGCCGYTAATGAAATAATAAGTGCATAGCGTCGTTTACATTAGGAAAACAACGGTGTATAACTATTCATTATCGTAAACACATAARCAGGATAAGGCTTTATATACACATCTGAAATACATGTGTTCATTATGTACTGTTGGTATTGTCGAGTACGTTTGGACAGTAAACCCGTGAAATAGATATTGGACTACCTCAATCCGTGAAATAGTCGCAATAATGCCTTGGTGTCAATTCCATTGTCTTCTTTTGTGTCTGTTAATCTCTACACCTTGATAGCAAGTTATATTTTGTTTCACGTGTTTTATGTTTTCGCTCTATTTAAATGCAAGAAAAAGACACTAATGCACATTAGTAGACACTAATTTGAGTTTCTGAATGATTATTTAGCTCTCATTTGCGTCATGAATTGATGTTATTTGGTAAAGTATATGTCTGTATTCAACGCCCAAAGTCACATCAGTCTAGACATGGACACCACTGAATCTCGAGACAACACGTTATATTAGGTGTGTGTGTATATAAATCAATACTTCTTGAGTAAAAACGTAGCCTAAGATGCTGTTCAGTTGTTTAGTGTATCTCAGTGTTTTCCATATTCTAGACAAATGTGCGCAAGCTTGCATACTGTCATAACATATCACATGGGAATTCTAGCACATTGCATTCTTTGTTCAAATCTCCAGWTTTTCTTGGTAGAAATTTCTAGGTACAGCAGTCACTTTGAGAGACCAACCAGATGCTGCTTTGACGTTTTATAATACTTTATTTAAAACGATAAACTTTTACATTTATAGTAAAACTATATACAATCGTTACTGATTACTTTCAGCTCAAGGCAAATTTCCTTGAAATTGCTTTTTGCGCAGTTATTCAGAACACGCATATCTTGTATAAAATTAACATGAAGGGAAACTGATAGACTATTTTATATTATATAAATAAGCTAGACTTTGTTTTCTTTCATCGGTGATTAGGAGAGGTCGCGCTGCATTRCTTCACTCAACGAAAACTACAGTATGCGCGGGTCTTTTTTGTTCAATTTTCCATCTATCTACAGTTTATGTTATATGGTGTCGCTTWAAAATGTTTCTGCATGGCTGTAGACAGTAATGGCAATAATAAAATCCATATGGAATTAGTAAAAGACTTGATAAACATTTACAACTCAATAGAGATCTGTGTTTTAAACTCTTAATACGGCTTAAGGTACTTGTCAAACTCATTACGATCCAAGTCATCGCAAAGAAGTTCKGATAATTGTTCAAATACTGGTGGGCCGGGGTTGRCCGCGTTCATTTCGAACTTTTTATTGACCCTCTCTGCGTCCTCTTCACTRCTGTCGCTCGTGACGGATGAAAATCTACACGAGCTCCGCGGAAAATGAAGTTTTGGGAATTCTTGCCTGCGGAAGTTGCTGTTGTAWAAGTCATAGGTACCTTTAGAGTATATATCCCTTGTGTGAGYCTCCTGTGAAGGTCTCCAATGTTCTCCAAATGCACCATTTGATCTGYACGACTTGTTTACTTTCTCATCACAGTTTCTCAGYCTAAAAGCTTCATTTTGTCTTTCATAGTACTCAGCATAGGCTCGATAGCTCTCGCCGTCAGTTTTACCGTAAGATCCTTCAGTTTTACCGTAAGGTCCATATGTTCCTTCGTGTTGATAGCTTGCGTAAGCATTTTCTAGACGTCTCTGATGACTTCCATTAAAATCGTCTTGAAAATGCGCACCGGCAGCTGGTCTATACTCAGAGTTATTGCAGCCATTATACGAGTGATATGGACCAGTATCGGGGTAGTAATGRTCGCTAGGGGAAAGCACTTCTGTAGGGCTTGGCTCAGGGGTTGGTGGAAGATGAAGTCGATGGCTTGACATAACCATGTTGGGCACAGTGTCCATATAAGTGTTTGATCCAATATAACTTGAAAATACYCTTTGACCAGATCGTCTATCTTGGCGTCCTTTTCTCTTTGGTGTATATCGATAATTAGGATGATCTTTCATGTGCCGAATCCTTAATCKCTCYGCTTTTTCYACAAACGGTCTCTTCTCTTTTGTAGTGAGTTCATTCCACGACTTACCCAGTAGTTTAGAGATCTCMGCGTTGTGAAGCTTTGGATTTTCCTCCGCGAATTTACGACGCATAACTTTGGCCCAGATCATGAACGAATTCATGGGCCTCTTAACATGGCAATCGTCATCTTCTTCGTAGCCTTGTAGACCCATAGCCGACCCATCCATCGCTCCCCAAGACCCAAAGTTAGGATACCACATCGCTGTTTCAAAACGTCCTCACAGCTGACAAGATCACCTCCTATAGTTGCTTGCTCTATGACGACTTGTCTGTCAGACTAGAATTCTGCGTTCTACGAGCTATTTAATCTTTTGAAGTCCAGATAGGGGGTACAAGAGGAATCCAGCTGACGGGCCTTGTCCCTTGGTGACATACAACTCTAACGTTATCTCTATATGGCAATCACTTTACACTGAAGAACTACTCTTGAGGATCTRTAAACCGATATAATGAAAGATATTTGTACGCGCTAATTGTTACACTGYTTAGACTCAATCATTTGGAYTAGCTGCGAGATTCGGGCTCTCTTTGCGTGACTGTAGGATCGTGGAATATTGTCTACTAGTCCCAAACAGGAAGTGCCGTGCTAATCAGGTCGCTTTGGGTTTCTAACCGTGAACATGTGTTGMTTTAAAGGGGTTATTTTAATTTCCGAAGTGTTTTTCTGCGAGACCAACTCGAAATATCCGGCGAATAATGCAAAATGGCGCTAGCATGAGTTGCTATAGCGAATAGAAGAATGTGTTTTTTTGCTCTTCCTATGTRAAATGAAATTGAGATTATCTAGGTACGTATAAATAAATCCGTTATATTGATTATAACGGTCATTTGATTTCCATTTTTAACGGATTAGAATATCCGGGCTGTAAAGCTGGTCATGTTACTGATTGTTTTATTAATGTCTTCCTACAGAGCTATCTAGTACTGTTTTCATTTTTCATTAAAAGAACATATAACATTGAATAACATATCAATTGATTGAGCGTATTGTAATTTGTACATTTTTTTACATGACTTCTTCAAATACTCATTTTTCCATATAGTCTAATTATACTGGACCCAATTAGGGGTGCGTAGGTCATGTGATTGGCCTGATACAACGCTGATGTTTTATTCATCACTTTCATCAAATTGTACAAACCTGGGGTGGATTGAACCAATGGTGGATCGCGCTGTATTCTGCGCGCTTGATGTTTTATTCATCAGTGTTGTTCCATGAATATATACAATAAGTTCCTCATTTAGTGTTTTCACGCGATCATGATCGAAAACGTGATACTTCATGGTGTAAGATAACATAAATTGTTTGTGAAGTATTGATGTCACGCTAACCAGCAATTGAACTTGCGGTCACGCGATGTCACGCTAACCAGCAATTGAACTTGCGGTCACGCGATGTAGCGTTCTCCTTCTATTCCTCGATTCAAAGTCAACTTTTAAGTTTTATGATCAAGTAGGATATTGAAGAAGAGAAACCGAATATTAACGTTATTACGAAGTAAACATATTCTAAAATGGCCTAGCTTTGTTCAGATAGAGCAATTTTATTTAATCCGTGANGGAAGAATTATCTATTGTTTGTCCATTGTTTTCTTAACCAATCAGTAAATTAGTTCATTAGTTCTGATCGGTGATGACTGTTTATCAGATGCAGACTCTTCTCCAGGACTCCTCTGACGATGTCAAACGATGAAGTAGGCTGGAGATGAGGCTCGGTCTATCTCCCTTCATTCCTGTTCTACGCATGTCTGGAATATAGCAATGTGGGTAATTCGTTAGCTATCATTATGTTTATATTATAGATTATGTAACTATAGCTTTGTTTTTGTTTTTTGTTTTTTTAAAACTTTTTCTCTGACCAAACAAAATGGCGCGAAATTCCAAAATGGCGGGCGGAAACTCGTAGTTTGGAACACTAGTTTGAAGAGCTAGCATTTTGCCGTTCTCCCTGCTTGATTTAATATGAATATTGCAATGGAAACAACTTGTTTTGCTTGGTAGTCATCCATAGTCGAGAAATTTTCGTTCACAATATTCAGATATGAAGATTTAGTGAACGAAAAAACTGAGTCACAATGTACATAGCTAGCCTGCTTAGCCAGGCGTTCCTAGCCGCTCCGAGAGAGTTTCCCAGGCTACAATGTACATGTTCATCACCGATCAAGGCGCTTTACCGCCAATGTTTTCAACTCCATCTATTGCGAAAACGTAATAAAAATGTAATACTGTTTAGTGCATTCACAATACGAAAATGCATTACTAACATTTCTAAATGTAAATAGCCAATGTACATGGAAGGTTTCCAGACCAAAATTAACCAGCGTAGCCACTTTTGATTTGGGAGTCTGTTTAAGGACGTCAAGCAGGCTACACAATTTAAAAAAACTAACATAGTCACTGTGTAAAAACCCTTTTGGCGGTGATAGCACATTTAAAGCAATCAGAAATYGAAAGTGTAAATAAAATAGACCACCGGGAGAAAGTTCCATTGTTCGTTGTATTTTTATTTCACAGCTGAGTTCTTAGAAACAAAAGTTTTTTTTTTCCCACAGGATTACAATAGGGTAGTAAGTACATGGCAACGCGTTAGCCGATTAGGTCTATTGCAAAAAAATTACTTAGGGAGATCAGAATACATTAAAAAACAAAGAACTTCCCCTCAAGCTGAACGCTTTTTTGTGTATTAATTTATTCCTAAATTACTAAAGTTCTTAATCATAGACATCGCTGCTTTGTCATGCAATTCAGTACATACATGGACAGACAAATAAATAAATTTTGTCTTAAATTTCGATCCCGGGTATCTAGTATTTTGAAACTCGTCCCCGGGTCCCGGGTATCTAGACATTTCGTATTTTTTAATCTAAGCCAAAGGCAAAAGAATACTATCAAAATAAATATTCAATTAATAATAATAGTAATAATAATAGATCAAGAAAGCTTCAAAATTCATATGAGTAATATATCATTTTAATGCTTTTTGCGTTACAACAGGTGCAAAATGTTACCATGACTTGTGTGACGCACTTATCTTGCGTTACGTATTGTGCGATTATAGTGCTATTGTAGTTGATTATAAACTCTTGAGCTGTTGATGAAAAGCTTTATGTGACAATTCAGATTTGCATTTCGATATCGTAAAGACATCTATAAACACATAGATATGATTACTGAGTTTCTTTGGGAGCTGTTTCATCGTCTACAAACACTGACATGGCCGACTGTGATTCTCACAGTTATCACWGGTTTTGTTGCTTGGTTTGTTTATCAAATCGTCCAAGAAAAGCTTTCTCCTTTGCGTAAGATTCCTTCTCCTCCTGGCCGTCTTCCTTTCTTTGGGCATCTTTTTTCATTGTGGAAACATGGTGGTCTACATATGGGCCTCAGGGAATGGGAAGGTCGCTATGGACCTATCATTGCGTTTGGACCTGGATTTGGTCGACGAAGCGGTAACTTATGTTTTTTTTGTAAATATATAATCTCCTGTATACAAAGGTCTAAAGATCTTTCGCCCTGTCTAGCCTGCTCGAAGGGTCACATTAGGGTCACCCTAACCAAAGTGTCAAAACATAGCGACATTTAAAGCTAAGGTCAACAAGGGAGTAGCGCTAGAACCATGAACGATCGCTATGCTTCGTAAACAACTAAACGTTCTCTTTTTGTGGATGTTTTAGCTCCTTTCTTTTTCATAATACATGGCTGTGTTTGCTCAGTGTTTTGGCATTTTATTACTAATAGATCAACGATATCGCAAATCAGTTTTATAGACAGCGTTCGTGGTTTTGATCAAATCTTGCATCTAAAAGAGACCCTGTTATTCCTTCACGAGTTTGTAAGTTTTCTTGTGATTGGAGGAATAAAACAATGGTCATTGTTTCCTCGTTCTTAAATTCTATTGTTTTCTTTTAATCAACAAATAGATTATTAAACAGCGGTCCGTGTGAAATGATCTATACATGTGAAGCGCCTGTGAACTCAGAGGATATCGGCGCTATATAAATACCACATATTATTATAAATAAAGAGTTAGTGATTAATATATACAGAACACCAGTTCGCCTAAAAAGGCYACTTATACAACTATGAAATTAAAAGCGATCATTTAAGTAAACAAATTAATCTACAGAACGTGTCGTCATCTACGACAAAGACCTTATCAGGCAGGTTATGATATCAGAGAGCCACAAATATCGCAGACCAGAAATCGTCAAAGATATCATACCTGGTGTTGGTAATGGTTTRTTTGCATCAAGTGGAAAAGTGCATGCCAAACAGCGGAAGATGATCAACCCTGCTTTCAGTTTAACAAATTTGAAAACATTTGTGCCCGCATTTGTTGAGTCAGCGGAAGAACTGGTGGAGGTATGTTTCAATACTCTATTTTACAGTTCCAAGCGCCATCTTGAAAGGTAACCAAGCCTTTGCATCAAAAAAGACAGGAGACAATTATTCATAGGTATCTATCATTGCAAGTTCAACTTCTGTTTCGCTTATTGATGCCTTTCATTATGGTGCTCGCTTACCTTTCAATGGCGCTCGGCTACCTTTCAATGGCGCTTGGCTACCTTTCAATGGCGCTCGGCTACCTTTCAATGGCGCTTGGCTACCTTTCAATGGCGCTCGGCTACCTTTCAATGGCGCTCGGCTGCCTTTCAATGGCGCTCGGCTACCTTTCAATGGCGCTCGGCTACCTTTCAATGGCGCTCGGCTACCTTTCAATGGCGCTTGGAACTGTAAAAGCAATAAGTTTTTGTATTTTGTATACAACTTTACAATACAACTTTTGAGTGTAGTACAACTTTTGCGTAAGCATTTTGTAGACGTCTCTGATGACTTCCATTAAAATTGTCTTGAAAATGCGCACTGGCAGCTGGTCCATACTCAGAGTTATTGTAGCCATTATATGAGTGATATGGACCAGTATCGGGGTAGTAATGGTCTCTAGGGGAAACCTTTTGACTACAACTTTACTCAAATACACCAACAATTGCGTTTCAGCTTTGGACTCGTAAAATCCAGCATTCATCGACTTTGGACGTTGGTGACGATATCTGCCATCTTACTCTTGACATCATTGGTAAAACTTCGTTTGGCTATGGCTTTAATACAGTTTTGGGGAAAGAAACAGAGGTTTCGACAGCTTTCAATACATTGCTCAATGGTGCTGAGTTCGGTTACGTAGTTCGTTCTAGAATAATTCCATTCTATAGATATTTGCCATTTTCTGACAACCTCGCCATCAAGAAGTCAATTAGTCTTGTGAACAGTACCGTTTTTAAGGTATGATTTCTCTACAGTCTTTATAAATCTTTAGAATCATTGAAAATGATGTTTTCTTGCTAAAATTCAAGGCTTTTCGAAAAATTGTGATTGCTTTAAAAGTGAGTAAAATGAAGACGTAGGATTTTGTTAAATTGTTGTTCCGAGGGGCCCTTTTAAATCACCTTTGAAATTTAATCGTTTTCAACCATTCCCATAAGATTGAAAATATCAAAGCCCGGCGGCCATGTTGGATAAGTTCCTCCAAGATGACCGCTATGAAATAACCTGAAAACGAAGAATAGAGTAGCTTTGATATAACGAGATTCGCTTGAGTTGCACAAACAGTGGTCTCCATGATGGCCCTGCTTCATTTGTCCAGTTTTGTCCTGAATTTTATCAGTTTTCTTTGGATCGAATTTTATTTAGTGTTTCTTCTTGAAAGGTTATTAATGAAAGGCGCATGCTCCGAGAGCAAGATAAAGCAGCTGAACAAAAAGACCTTCTTAACTTGTTGCTTGAAATGTATGATGAAGAGACTGGYGCTGGTTTTGATGACGAAGAACTGCGGGCTCAAGTCTTTACGTTCATGCTAGCGGGACACGAAACAACGAGTACATCATTGTCATGGACGCTGTATGAGTTGGCTAAAAATCCTGAAATACAGGACAAAATACGACAAGAAATCAAGGTACATCTTTCAAATGTAACGATCCACTGTGTTGTTGATCAGCGGATATTGTGTTTGTTAAGTTGTTGTTCAGTGTTGTTTTGTTTTGCTCGGGTGGTTACCTTGGTTACTGCGGCTTCATGGACCACGCCCAATTTTATCGATATTACCCTTTTTCACAGGATGTTCTTAAAGAGGGAGAGGAATTGACCTGGACCAAGCTAGATCAGCTTGAATACCTGGGTTGTATGATCAAAGAGTCTCTGCGTCTTCATGGACCTGCTTCCTTTGTTGGCAGGGAAGCCAATCAGAGCGTCCATATTGGTGGCTATGAGATACCAAAAAACACATTTATTACAGTTCCAATAGATGCTCTTCACTTGTCACCTGACCTTTGGGAAAACCCTTTGGACTTTATTCCTGAAAGGTTTATGAAAACAAGTGAGTGACTCGATACTGTACTATTTGAGATCATAATTCAGGCTTTTGGGCGAGCAATGATAGTAGTGTTAAGTTTAATACTAGGAAACCTTAATAGTCTTCTTCACGGTTCCCTTCGCCATCTTGAAAGGTAGTCGTGCCTTTACATCGAAGCGAGAAAACTGTTGAGCATGCAATGATAGATACCTGTGTATAATTGTCTGTAGGTGTGAAACAAGGTTTCTATTATTGCACGCTCAACAGTCGTCTAACTACCTTTCAAGAAGGCGCAGAGAACCGTCAAGGAGACAATTCCACCGAATGACTGCGTTGTTACATTTTGAAATGCAGTGAACCCAACGTATGAGAAAATTTACTGATTCATTGTACTATCTTAATTGACAAAAGTTTAAACAGGTCACTTTATTTCCTATTTTTTTTTGACATAAACTCACCATTGTTTACTGTTATTGTTATCAGACGCGTCTCCAATGAACCAATATCCCTTTCTGCCTTTTTCGTTTGGTCCTCGTATTTGTATTGGTTACAAGTTCGCCATGGCAGAGATGAAGACCATAGTACTTACTTTGATGAAGARCTTCAAGCTCACCGCTGTTCCTGGATTCAAAGTGAAAAGTTTTATGAAGCTCACGACCAAGCCAGATCCCAGTGTAAAAGTTCAAATATCTTCGTTGCATTGAAACACAGCAACTATTGAATGCCTTCATCAACAAATGGATATTCTCTGATTCTTACAATTTTGAACTTCAACATATTTGRATGTTCAMTTKATGAGTAAATTGCCATTTTCATTGCCCAGAAAAAAAGTTTGATAATTTAGCTTATTTAATTAATTTGAAGGTTTTGTGACTGGACAGTCTCTTGTATCTGTTGAACATTCTTTTGTTTCAATGTCATGAAGTCCTTGTAAGGGGATTTTGAAGTACGCACTTTCAACATGGTGTTCCACCACCTTTAGAGATGATGCGATAAACAGCAATGCATTTCGGTATAAACCCAAATTATTGAAGGACAAGTGCACCCCT